GGGGGGGGGGGGGGGGGGGGGGGGGGGGGTTAGTTTGTTTTCTGCTGCTGAAGGTTAACAGGAAAACCTCAGCAGTCAACAGGCTTTGATTGGTATGTTGGAAAGGAGGGCGCAGAAGCCGAAAGACAATGGCTTACCATGGCTGCCTGCAAGCTGAATTCTGTTGCCCGGACCTGCGTCTGTGATCTCTAACACCAAAGCCACAGGCACTCAATATTAAGATGGAAAATGCGACCTTGTACTGAAATCACATGTGCTATGTAATGTGAATAGTGTTCACCATGAAAGAGTACAAGCATTGTTCTGTAAAATGTATCATTTTAAAAACTTCTCTACTTTTTTTCAACCCTCTCTCTAGCAGCTGCAAATGTTTCAAGCCTCCCTCCTGCGTCCAGAAGGCTATCTCAGATAAGGCGTCGTAGAAAGATGACGCGAGACGACATGTTCAAAGAAATAATGAAATCCACCAACAATCAAAGAGCTCATTTGAATGAGTGGAAGGACACTGTATCTAAATTTAGGAAAGATGCCAGTGACCGTGAGGTCTTGAGGGATGCTCGAGATGAGAGGTGGCAGGCTGCAACGCTGGGGCTGCTGCGTGAGCAAACGGACATGCTCCGGCGTCTGGTGGAGCTTCAGGAACGGCAGCAGGATGGCAGACTGCCGCTGCAGCCGCTGTATAACCTACCTCCCCCCTCACCATGTTCCATATCCTCCTCACCTAGACGTGTAAGAACGCGGGGGAGGATGCTGCGTGCACCCTGTCACTCCACCCCAGGGGAGAGCCCAACCAAAAGGCTGTCAATATATTGAATTTGATCAGTGGCCTTAGACTTCCCTCTTATCCTCCTCCCAAACCTCACCCACATTACCTTCTTGGTTCTCTCCCTATGTTTATAATCACTTAATAAAGAATACATGATTTTTAAACGATAGTGACTTTAGAACCTGCCTTCAGGCTTGTTTTTGTCCTTCCAAGCTTTCTATCCCTAAAATCCCATTTAACAATTTCTGTGTAATCTGAACACCTCCCCTGGGCCACCCTCTCACTCCACCCCAGGGGAGAGCCCAACCAAAAGGCTGTCATTATATTGAATTTGATCAGTGGCCTTAGACTTCCCTGTTATCCTCCTCCCAAACCTCACCCACATTACCTTCTTGGTTCTCTCCCTATGTTTATAATCACTTAATAAAGAATACATGATTTTTAAACGATAGTGACTTTATTACCTTTGAAAGAAAGCTGGGGGGAGGGTGGGTTGCTTACAGAGAATGAATGAGAATGAAGGGGCTGGTTTTCATGAAGGGAGAAACAAACAGAAATTTCACACT